CCCCCCCCCCCCCTCATATATTTTAGATAGAACCAAGGAGGAAAACAGTGATCCGCGCCGCTGTATGGCACCAGCCTTTACCTCGGAGCTGCTTCTGCAACAGTAGCGCCGACTGCGAGCTCACGTTCATCGTCGTCCAGCTTTGCTCGTATTAACAAGTAAAAATGAAAAGCAATGGGGCAAAACGTCCTCTTTTATGTCCTTTGCATGCGAGGAATATTTCAATCTTTTAACGTGCTAATATTATAGCTTGCAAAAATTTAAATAATATTTAAATTGCGTGAATATTCAAATTCCCAGTTGAACAGCGGTACATCCGCCAGTGGAAAGCGCCCAATTTCTCCCCTTCCTCGCATCTTCTTCGCCATCGAATTTTATTTCACGTAACTCTCTGGCTCGGCTGGTTTCTCAACTGTCGAAAGAACACAGGGAACGCCGTGATGCAATGGAGCTCCTAAACATCTGAACGGAATTGTATGGGTGAGGAAATCTGAAAATGGAGAAGCTAGCGAAATTTTCAGCTGGCACGAAACATTATCACGGTTGTGCGTAATAAATAACGATAAAATCAAGTTTTCAGCGGAAACTGAAAAGCTTTTTGGTGCAGTTCTATACTTATTTCAATGGCATTTTGGCTTATACTTTGTACGATGAATTTTACATTTCACCGACAAAATTTTATTTTCAGTACCGCTTACATCGGCTTTTTTCCAGCTAAACATACTGTAGCGCAAGTGCAAACAGCAAATACCTTCTAACAAGGCTGTTGATGGTCTCCACTTCTAAGAGAATTGCTTACAAGAGAGTTGATGGCGGGTTTGATTCACTGTTATATGCCAACAGCAATTTACCATCGAAAGGAATCACAGAGAGAGAGAGAGAGAGCGGCCTCTTGCATAACAACTGTTCTACCCTACTGCCCATGCCTAACGTTGGTTTTCATGTAATATCACTGACAACGCGCACTGTGGGGCTGGAGCGATCATGCATTTTTGCATAATTTATCCGGTGGGAACTGTTCTTGTGCAGCCTCAGTTCGTGCAGAGCAATTTTTGTGCCATACAAGCATTTTTAGTACCACCATTTTATTAGGAAAGAAAGTGTTAAATATACGTACAAAAATATTTACGCACTGAACATAAAAACAAAAAGGGAGAACAAACAGGAGAGAATAGACGAGGGTATTAATGCACAACGAAGATAGTGTATTACAAATATTATTATTCAGTGAATGAGAAGTCTGAAATGGACAGTAATAAAAAAAGCAGCTGTGATGAAATATCAGGATTAATTTAAATCATAAAGTAACGAAAATGAAGAAATTAAAATGTAACGATTATTTGAAGTGAGCTACAGGAGCAAAGCAACTGCTGTGATGCCGATGCGGAGTTTTACATTGCATTGGGAAAAGTAGACTGCGAGACAGACAACTTTGATGTTGCTGTTGTCGATTGGTGCTTGGTTTTTTTGATCATGCAAAAGCAAATAGTTGTGGCTGCCTCGAGCACTGGCATCGAGAATGAAATAAAAAAAGTAGTTTTTTGGTATGTCATCATTTTCTCAGAATTCTGTTAAATCGTTACCTTTACATCGGAACTGTCCAGCAGGGCCAAATGAAGGCCAGACTGTCTGAAAGATATGACGGGCCACTACTTATCTTTCTTCTAACCTTGTTAAATCACTAACCATCTGAGGTGCGGGAGGGAAATCCAGTCCGTTGGAAAGACAGTAACGGGGCTATTTCTACTGCTTAATGTTTTCTGTGCAATTTGTACAGAAAAACCCTTCATCATTTTGCTGTAAATAAAAAACAGTATTAATGTGGTTATTCAGAACTGGATTCCCGTTGCCTGATCGTAGCAAATTTAAGCTTTGTTATGGATCGGTTAAATACCAATCGACCGCAACAATTACATACCCGGGTTGAGCCTTCCTTAACTGCACCTTCATAACAGCGATACCAGAAACTGAACAATGTTGGCCGGATTCCTGCTTTTTCATCCGTTCTTGAATTCGGATTTCCGTTATCTCTCTTCGGCGTTGCATATTCAGAGCATTTTCTTCACGCTCCTTCACTGTCTCTTGGCTGGGTCTGCAGTTTCGCATTGCTACATTATTTATCTTTCTTTTTCCCTGAATGTAGGATCCGTAAGCCTGCGGTTCTTTGTTGCCTCTGAATTTGCTGCTCTTTCCTGTGTTCTAAATCCAAAATCACTCTCTCGGCGTACTTGCATCGCTCCGCTGTTCCTTTCTTGTTCCCGACAGAGTGGGCTAGCATCTCGACGAAACCATATTGCCGCGCTGTTGAGCTTCTCTCTTTCTGCCTCCTTCTCTTCGCAGCTGCATTGCTTCTGTGTTCAATGCTCATTCTCTTTCTCTGTAAACGTGGTTACTTTCTTTACGCAATTGCTTTGTTCCACTGTTCCGCTCCCTTTTCCTTTCTCGATAATCCAGATTTATTTTGCGGCGTAGCTGCATCGCTTCACTGTCCGCTTTCTTTTCTCCCTCTCTCTCTCTCTCTAGATAATCCGTAATTTTATAGCTTCAACATTCATTACCTTTTCCTTCCCTGTACTCCGACTCATTACTTCTACTCGTTCTCGTAGCTCGTTTGCGGTCCTTTTCCTCTGCTGCAGCCTTGAGCGCTCCGCAGCAACCGCATACGCTTCGCTGTTTTTCGTGCTCCTCTGCAAGCAGGATCGGCTCTGGCAGCATGTTTTGCAGCCAAATCTCTTGTTCTTTCAACCTCCCGAAACGCACTTCGTTCCACTGTGCTCGATGACTAAACACCTGCAATATATGCAATTTCAGTACCGAAAACAACATTGCTACATATGAAAAATGTAGTAATGTAATCATTGTTTTTCTCGTTCTCAGCTGAGGAGCTCTAATGCGTGTAACCGCTTGTACCTGGTTCTTGGTTGTCCAGTCCTACTGTTGTTTGGGGAAGTGTTCGCTCCACCATTCCAGCATGCTCGGATTGATTGTGGCCATTCTGCTCCTGCTGGCGACCCGATCGCGACAATCGGCAACGGCATTTCCGCTCAGCATCAAGCTGCCAATTTCTTTCTCTGCTAACTTCCCATTCTGCTTCAGTTAGTCTCCTTCGAGGCATGATGCCAAATACGTAGCGTCAAGCAAAATCTAAATATCATCGAATGACATGTAGATGCAGCGTGTTACGGAGCGGACGCATATAAAGGGATAAGCGTATCAGTGCTGGTGTGTCTGGTATTTTGAAAAAGTTAATACCTGGTGCCTGAATTTCGATAGTAGGGGATGAATTTGAGGTGTTTTTCAATTTCGCAAGAGGCGTTTCTGAATGAGAATTGTATGAAAGCCACCCAGCAGAATAGTTCACTGGTGCAATTGGGCAGCAATATGTGAAAGATTTATTATACGTCCAGTAATCTACTAATCCGAAGGTAAGGGAAAGAAGAAGCAAAGCGCTGGGAAATATGCCTCTGAAATCTGGAGACTCCTCAGAGTGCAAAGGGCACTGGAGCTGGAAAGAGTTTTTCTTTGACTTGCACCAAAGAAATGAAAAAGCCAGCCCAAATGCATCTGGGATCTGGAGACCACTCAAAGTGAAGCGGGAACCGAATGCCAGGAGTGGCTGATTGGACAGCACTAGAAAAAGACCCAGGCTGGAACGCACCAGGCGGGCCGGTGCGATTATGCGTTTTTGCACTTCTCGTGCC